AGACATTAGTCACTGAGGTCAGCCAGACATGCCAAGGCTCCCCAGTCATCTGATCTGATGAATGTGGCACTGCACACCACTGCTAGTAAGCACAGCATCACATATTTATGCTATATGGGTCATCCATGTGGAAACTTGTGCATGAGTGTGATCCTGACGCTACTCCACTGTCACACACTGACAGATCAAACCCTACAAGCATAATGTAGCAGGGCAGGGAAGATAGCAGTTTGGGAAAACTAGCAAAGCTTTATTTTTCATATCTGTATGTTAAAACACATTTCACTTCTCATGTTAAAAAGTTGAAAGAAATAGGGGAGAAAAACATCTCTTTTTTGATTTTATGACTTTATAACAACCTTATCCGTGATAGCGGTACCATGAATATTTTCCACATATCCAACAGCCCTCATAAGAAAATCGAAAAAAAAATCATTTGTGTCACATATTTAAGACCTCCAAATGGGGGCAGATTTTGATCCACTTCCTTCAGACAAAAGAAATGTAAACCAATGAGCAGTATTTTCAAATGACAATTCTGTGCAAAATAATAAAATGAAGAGGTGATAAATAATATCAATGAACTAGTGCCAAAGCCAAGATACGGCCTGAAAAAAACTGGGAAACAAATCTAAGAAGCAACCACACCGACTGAGAGGATGATTTGTGTTCAAAACACACCACTCCCAAAAGGCTGATATCATATTCAACTTCTTCCTGTTGAATGATTCCTGTTCTCACTGAACGTCTCCCTTACAGTATTCAAGGCTGTCCAGAACTGAGCTGAGATAATGACCCTTTTGTCACAAGCTTACTTTGAGTTATTTGTGTAATACTTAAGTGTAAGTACAAAAATACAGTTTACCGGCAACCATTACGTAAGGACTTCTTTCTCCCAACTGTTTGCTTGTTAGTGTCCTGTTATTGTTTCTCTTTAAAAACCATGAGGATTAAAAAAAAAAAACTGTGTCTAACTTTATCAATAGTAAGATAATAGGCACTGTCGATGACACACCTCTCACCTTTCCTCTCAGTGATGAGGGTCTGCCGCCTCGACTTCATGTCCAGGCTCAGGTTCTCCACCATGCTGTCGATGCAGTTGTCCAGGGCCAGGCAGCGGGTCTGGGACTGGATGGCCCGGCGGCAGATGGGACACTCGTCCTTCTTTTTGCGCCACTGCTTGATGCAGTGACTGCAGAAGCTGTGAGCGCAGTTCAGGATGACTGCCTGTAGGAGGGATCAATACAGCTCAAAGGTTCACAATCTTCTGAATCACCTGGAAAAGTACAAGTCAATGATTAGATTTCAACACCGTGCTTCTCTTAATCCTACCTCAATGAAGAGCTCTGAGCAGATGATGCACTGAAGCTCGTTCTCCAGAACTTCAGTCACTTGTGTAACTACTTCCTCTTTCTGGGCCCTCGCCTGTTCTTTCTCCTCCTGCAAAAAAAAAATATGAATAAAGCTTTGCTGATGCCACGCCGTAGAACGCATCAAGCATGTTTAAAATGATTGGAATGTTGCCATACCTTTGACACTTCGAGCTCCTTGTTTTTGGCCAGGAGAATCTCTTCAAAGCCCTCCCGAGACAGCGCAAGTTCGTCTATTACTTTCTTTTGCTGAGGACAGGGAAAACAGTTTGAGAAGTTAAAAGGCTACTTCAAAATATCAGTCAACTAAATCCATACAAGAGCCATTTTAAAGATACAATACATCCCTATTATATAGACACAAATACTGTGTTTATGTATTTGTTTGTATTTGAGGTGGAACAAACAATGAATAAAAGCTTTTATGCAACATACCTCTTGCAAAGCCACGTCCAACTGTTTCTTTAAAAGCTCCTCTTGTTGCTGTGTTTTCTCTTCCTAAATACAAAAAAGGTTACACTTTTTATTGCATGCAGAAATTGTGAAACAAAACAAATTAGAGTGCTAGACAAGCACAAACAAACATGATGCACACGGTGGGGAATATCAGTATATTTTTCATACCAAAAAAAGCTAGACTAAAATTCAAATATATTAAAGTGGACCTATCATGCTATTTTTGAATAATATAGTGAAGGACCATACCTATATAAGGCATATTTATACTTTTTATTTTTCAAAATACCAAACAGATCATGCATTTTAGCCATTCCTCATTTCGCTCAATTTAACACTGTCTTTGCATGGGCTGATTCTGTGAGAACAGCACCATCTACAGGCCTGGCATATGTACTACAGCGTCTCCAGCGCTTTCGAACGGCAATGTCCGTGGCTGTCTCCTCCTGATTGGTGGAGTTGGCCCAATAGCCGTAGCGCCACTTCTGTGACGTCATAGAAGTGTTCAAATCTGGATCAGTCTGTATCAGATCCGTTGCAGCCCCTTTTTTAGAGATTTGGGTATGGAGGAAAATAGAGAGGGTTGTGTTTTCTGACACTTGGTGAGTTCCCTGGAACACCAGGGACACATATTCATGTATAAAAGACGTACAAAAGTGCATTTTGCATGATAGGTCCCCTTTAACTTATTGTGCAGCTAGAAATGTAATTCAATGATCTCCACTTATGAGGTAGTACATTCCATATTAGGGGGCTAATATAATATTCTTCTTTTCAACACGGGAAACACAACCACAATGAAACGCAGCAATTGTTGTTAATTCTGCAAACTGGAGTAACAGTTTTTGGCGATGCTTCCGGAAAATCTCTCACCTCTAGCTTCCTCTTAGTTTCACCCATGGACTTTTCTAGCGTCTGCATCAGGTACATCTTGGCTCTGAGGGTCTCCAGCTGGCCCTGCAGCTCCATGACCTGCTCCTCTCTGAGCGGGTCGGCCTGCTGCGGCTTTCCCCCAAAAAACGCCACCTGCCTCTGGGTGTCGTCCACTTGCTCCCTCAGTATCAGGATGTTCTGGCTGTACCTGCAGAAATACAAAAAAACAAGAGGTTAATTTCCTGCCACTATGGCTCTCTAAAACAATAAGAAAAGAGGGAATAAGGTGGTGTTAATTATTAACTTACAGATTTTAATAGGTTTAAATATTTTTTAGGAGGAAAACAACTCAACTAAATAAAATATATAAGTCTATTTATTTTAAGACATTTAACATGTTACATATTATACTTTAAAAAGGGAGATGAAACTGTCCAATTATCTTAATAAAAAACAACATTTTGCTGGATGTATCTTTAAGGAAAACTGATGCAAATGTAATGATAATGCAAAAAAGCACAAGGTTTGTCTTACATCTGCAAATTGGGTCCGGTTTCCTCCGGCTGGCTGCGACTGAGTCTCTGCGGCCACTTCACTACTGACAGAGGGCAGGGCTTTGCAAACGACTTGTCACCAGAGGAGCAGCGGTAGAGTTTGGTCTTTGAGGTCGATGGCTCAACCTCTTCCACGGTCAACTTCCTCTTGGACTTCATGGAAACCTGGGTTGATTTAGCGCCATCTTTGTGTCGCTTTGTAAGGTAGAGTTTAATGTCTTTCAGGGGCCGCTGGACCAGGATGTAGTCAAACTCCACGCAGGTTCCAGTTATAGGAACTCCAAGTTGTATGGAGTCTCCGAGCCTCAGATGATGTGGCTCTTCAGCGGATATGCGGTTTTCATTCACCCATACACCGTTGAGACTCTGACGGAAAAAAGGAACAATGTATTCAGTGGCTGCAGTAAAATGTAACATTCATAGACAGAGAATATCAAAAGGATACAGAATCATTAACAGGTTTATCACTAGTAGGATAACGCATACGAAGAACTTTCCTTGGTGTATACAGTGCATACATAAACACAAATAAAGAAGATAAATTGTAAGAAAAAGGTCCAAAATATTCAAGTATAATATAAACTATTATAGCAATAAAATATAGAGAAATAATTACATTAAATATGGATATACCAAAAAAAACTACGCACAGTATAAAATGACAAAATACTCTGATAATATAATCAAATATGTGTAGTATTGTTACAAAAACTGGACAGCTGTGCAAATATTTAAAAAGGTAGCTACAATCGGTAGACACTTGTTTTTCAGTGCAAAACCAAGATATATTCATTTTATTGTAATATAATAAAAAATAAAATTAGGGAATTACTATATTTGAGAGGCTGAAAAGTAAACAGTCTGCGCTTTTTTCATGAAAAATAACTGAATAATAATAATAATGATGAATCAGTTTCCACTTGCAGTTCTAATATAAACGATTACCATAAAAATGTCATTTATCGTCTCTATGGTTTTTGTCTGTATTTTCTACACCTTTAATGATTTCCTCATTACATATCATTTGTTTATGTAGCAAAATCAATAAAAGAAACATCCTAATAAAGACTTTAATCTTACCTTGTTGTCTGTGACTGTCCACTGTCCATCTTCCCTTTGCTTGAATGTGCAGTGCAGTCTGGAGACCATCAGAGCGCAGCTTGGAGACAGCAATTGGTAAGTTACATCTAGACCCCGTCCTATGGTTATCTAGAGTCAAACAACGTCAACGTCAACAGTCAGTTACTGAGCAGCTTACAGTTCATGTACATAACGATATACAAAGAGAACGACAAAAATAAAAGTAAACCAGGAATGAGAAATGTATTCCATGTGAAGAATCCTAAACTTGATAAAGTTTTATTACGTGGTAAATTAACTAGCGTTAGTTAGCTAGCATTAGCAAACTGCACCTCAGTTTTTTCGAACAAGCGAAGCCAGTCCGAGTTTCTTCCGACTCTCATCAAACATAAAACCTCAGATTCTGAATATACATCCTCCTCAGCCGCAGACGAGTCTGTTGTTAGAGTGTCCATCTTATTTCATCCTGTCAGGGGCTACAACGACCTGAAACACATCGCTAACTGTGTAGTTCCTTCATAGCGAACCTGTAGCTAACGTTAGCCACCAAGGTGCCAAACCGGAAAACGTTTGTGTGTTTCCAAAATAAAACGAGTGAAGAGTGAAACTGATCTTTCAAAGACTTTAATTTAAATCAATAGACCAGTCAACATTAAATTACCTTGGTAACTAACTCCACTTTAAAAAAATTAAAAAGCGTCAAATTTAAAGGTAAAATACAAACATGTCACATCATTTGTTAACAGCTAGGTATGCATTAATACAAAATATATTATTTATTATTTTTGAAGAAAAAAAAGCAAACGAATAAATAGTTAAAGAATATAAAGAATAATGAGAACTTTCTTAAAATGTAAAAGTATCTCAAAACAACATCAGTATCATAAAAAATACGTTAATATAATTACTTAAATTATTTGTTTTCCATCACAAGGTTGTGTTTTATTTTCACAAAAATGTGCATGAAAGACTTTCCTTCCACTTCCAATTTTTACAGAGTATTTCTTCCATCGCTGCTACTAGCAAATGTATACTCCCAAAAATACTGATTGCGCCTTTAAATTGAAAGACCTTGCTTTTTGAAACAGTGTTTCCACCTGTTCTTTCCAACCAACACACACATTCTGTTGCCGTCCACTCGGGGTACCCTGTCTCCCATAACGAGCGCACCCCTCTTCCCCGGGCGGGACTTCCTTTCTCCTGCGGATGCGATACTGAGTAGGCAGAAAGGGCTTGGTCGGGTTGTCACTGGTGTATCTGTGCGGCTCTGGAGCAGCAGAGAACTGACCTGAAGACGCCGCTGCCACCGCCGCTGAAGCCCCGTAGATGAGCCTCCTCCCCGGCTATGCTGCCCTGAGAGAGCCGCCAGTATCCGCCCCGCCAACATGTCTGATGTCAACAAGACTATTCAGAAATGGCACGCCAGTTTTAGGAAAGGCACAGACTTTGACTCCTGGGGACAATTAGTGGAGGCTATAGATGAGTACCAAATGTAAGTCACATTCAACATGTGTATCCTGCCTCTCCATACAGCTGTTTTTATTCTGCAGGGCATGCTTTTTCCCCCACTTTTCTTTAAAAAACCTTAGATGTGCAGGGAGATTACAGCATGTAGGAGACAGTGGGTGCAATGGTCTTCACAAGAAGTTCAGTCAGCTCCTCTCAGCAGTAAACAAACCCTTCCCATCTATGACGTGATGTGGCAGTTGTTGCAGAGGCAGCACAAGAGTGTGTGTGTGTGTGTGTGTGTGTGTGTGTGTGTGTGTGTGTGTGTGTGTGTGTGTGTGTGTGTGTGTGTGTGTGTGTGTGTGTGTGTAGGATGTTGCATCCCAGATTCATCCACCAGCAGTATGTGTGCATGGAAAAACCTTTCACAAAGCCTGTCTGTGGAGAAAACCCCCTGCATATCTGCGTACAATGCTTTTCATTATATCTCATGCAGTACAGAAATGGGGCCAATATCCCCTCAGAGTATTGAGAAATAGTCAGCCACACCCTCTCATTGTTATGGGTGGGTTTTCCTCTGTTTATACAGGAATGTTTCCTGCTTTCAGACTATAACTATATGGTCCTAGTTTAAACACATTTTTTAAATATGTGATTTGCTTTGTCAATACATTCATGTTTTGTTTTTCTGAAATTGCTTTAATATCATAAAATCTTATTTTTTGAACAGAAGGGGGCGCAAACACACATCATTTAGCCTCCTTTTGCTGCAAAGCATTAACACACTTCTGTGTTGTTTAGTTTAGCGAGACAACTGCAAAAAGAGGTCCAGTCAACAAATTCATCAGACTTCACAGAGGAGCAGAAGGTAATTCAGAAGTACATCTCTTTTTACCGTTGGACTGTTCATTCAAGAATCCTTCATTAACTAACCTGTTTCTTTCTTTTTTTAGAAAACCTTAGGAAAAATTGCATCATGTCTGGAAATGAGAAGTGGCAGTCTGCAGGTTTGTGGCATTGTTTTTGAGTCTGTATGAAATACGAAGGGCACAAAACAGGTTCATATCTACAGCTTTACAGAACGTCTAGCCAATTTATGACAGTGCTTTACAGAGAGATAAAACAACAAAAACATAATTATGACGATCAATAAGTATATACGACATTTTTGGTCATATAGAACAATACATTCCGAAAGGGGATATTATTCATCATACTGTTAACTTCAACGTTCAAGGAGGTGTTGTGGTTCTTTCTGAGTCATCAAAGAAATGTCCTATTTTCTTCTCAATTCCCTTTTGCAGAGATGTATTAAATGTGTCTGCTCTTCTGTAGTGCACACAGTCCAAGGAGGACTTCAAGTTAGAAGAGCTGAAGAAACTGGAAACCAGTAAGTGGAGCGACTGGGATTCAAAAAGCTACCTGTTACTCCTCCTGTCGTTTCCAGTAATACTGATCTTTCTCATTGTGTCAACAGTCATTCAAAATATTCTGACGTACAACAAAGTATTTCCCTTTGACGTGCAGCCAGTGCCCTTAAGGTAAATGTCCACCACGAAACATCTCATATGCATTTTACAGAATATTCTGCTGAGTATTTTCTAATCCATTGTCAGGAGAATCCTTGCTCCAGGTGAGGAGGAGCACCTGGAGGAGGAGGAGGATGCTGCCGCAGGAGCAGGGAGCACCGAGGCTTTCCCCCCCCGAGCCCCCGGTACTGTACCACTTAATAAAACACACCCGCTGTTTGAGGGAAGTTTGACTTGTTGTGTTGTCCTGTTCCTGAGGGCTGTTTGTTTGACCGTTTGTCTCTTTGATTCTCTCTGTCGGGGCTGTGCATGGCTTCATCGCTCATTCCTGCCTGCTTCATTTGCAGCTTCGCAAGGTACGCCTTTTTATCGACAACATCTGAATGTGTTCAGTCCTGCATGAGAGAGAGGGGATTTTATCAGCGTAAAATCACAGCTTGTTGCTGAATTGACAAGAAATGTGAATAAAGCAGAGTACCAGAGTTGACTTTTGACTCAAATATGAACCTGGAAATTAGCATAACAAGGCCCCTTTAAACATTAACATTAATTTCACTCTATACAGTCTGTAGAGTTGTTTTAACTTTTAATATTGAAATGGTTTCTAACAAAAAAATCCTTCAATATAATCTTATAAAGCACGCATCTGAAAACATTTTCTGCTATTGGCTACTCTGTGGTCCACAGTGATGTCACCACCTGTTGTTATGGCAACTGTTAGTGTCCGTAACCTTTGTCCTCTGCAGGTACCTTGTTGCCACGGTTACCATCAGAGCATGGAATGACACTACTAACCCTAAAGATTGAAAAAATTGGGTTGAAGGACGCCGGGCAGTGCATCGACCCGTACATGACCGTCAGTCTCAAAGGTCACCGCCTACTCACTTCACCCTGAAAATAATCTGAGGATAACATTTCTGAATGTGCCAAAAACATCAAGTTCTGTGTTTCTCTCCTGCAGATTTGAACGGCTTAGATGTGTACCCAGTGCAGGACACACCTGTGGCCTCCAGGAAGGAAGATACCTACATCCACTTCAGTGTGGACGTGGATATCCAGAGACACGTGGAGAAAATACCAAAAGGTACCTGACAGATTAACCGAAGTCACATTCCTATAGTCAACAACTCCCAATAAAGATCACTCCCAACAATGAACTGATCCCTAACAATTACTGTCTGTGATGCCAAAGCCTGATGTATCCCCACTGTTGTCCAGAAACAATAAGAAACATCAACGAGTCACACTGCTGCACTCCAACATGCATGGATGAACAGTTTACCTCAAATATCTGTTAATTCGTGTCTGAAAATCGTAATTCATTATAATAGAAGTTTTTTTTAATGGGTTTTTCGTTAGATGCCTGAAATACGGTCAGTGGTTAACACAAGCTTATGAGATTGGCACGTTTTGTTCTAGGTACGAGTCTTGACAAAGGGGGCTGCTAAGAAAAGTGTCTAAATGAGACTGGAGAGGTTGTGAGGGACACAGATCAGAAGTACTAGGACTGTGATGTAGTTTGTTTATAGCCTTTGGCAATTTCATAAAAGGGTATTTTTTTATGGGAAGATTATCTTGCTGACAAAATGGGTATTTGTTTATTAGTTTATTTGTTGCACTAATCCATAATCCTATGAAGAAATCCCATAGGTTATGGTATCGGAAACAGGGCATTGTTAGCCTAAAAAACCGTTTGTCACCGTGAGAGATGAACACATATTTGTTTTTGGTTTGTTGACAGTATGAAAAATATGGACTTTCATTGCCCGTCGAATCGATACTTTCAGTATGCAGAAAGCTTTGAGGTAATTATAAAGTTTATTAACACTCACAGTTTGTTGTTATTCGTTCTTCCAGGAGCAGCTATCTTCTTTGAATTCAAGCACTACAAACCTAAAAAGGGTTTCACCAGCACTAAGTGTTTTGCCTTCATGGAAATGGACGAGATCAAACCCGGCCCCATCGTCATCGAACTGTGAGTCAACGGACAATAATGATTATAAAGGATGCCTTTGTGTCTCGTTAAATACAATTCATACTGTTATCTTTCAGGTACAAGAAGCCCACGGACTTCAAGAGGAAGAAACTGCAGCTCCTCACAAAGAAACAACTCTATCTCCATCTCCACCAGACGTTGCACAAGGACAGCTAAGTCTTGGCGTCCTGAACTTTAAACCAACTTTTTGGAATCATTCTTTCACACACACACACATCAATGTGGAAGTTCACCTCATCTCACCCAGCAATATTAAACCAAGCTTGTATTCATGTGTTTTTTCAAGAGTATATGGAGAAAGTAAAGGGAGATGAACACATCACATCAGCTCCGACTTGTGTATTCTTTGATTTTGTCGTCAAGTACGATGGAATATAAGAGCTATTGTAGATTTTCTTTCAAATGGAGCCAGGTGAGAGGGGTAATATTCAGGGGAAGACTCAGAATGTCATAGGTAGAACTGGTACATTTATGAAAAGAATACACATTTATGAGGGAAAAGCTTGAATATTCTCTGTCATCGTAACCATTCAAAGAACCTGTGAAAAACAATGTTTTTTTTTAATCGAGTGGCTACCACATTGTTTCACTTTGCAAGGATGGATCAGCTGTCCACGACACAACCCTATTCAATTCACATACAGTATTTTCTTGGTAATTCCATTTTTGAATATAACCCAACGATACTTGCTCTGTAGAGATTTTATTTGAAACCTACAATGGAGCTAATAAGCTAACAGTCATATCATTTCTGTTGCTGGAAACCCCTTCTCCAATAACTCAAACATACTCTCTGTTTTTTTATCATTTGGAGGGACAGGGCCTGATAGGAGAACCATCTTATTTCCAGTCTTCCTTGAGTTATTGCAGGTGCTTAATTTGAGTCAATATAAAAATGTTTGGGCTTTTGTTTTCTGGAAGTTAAACACAGCCAAACATTCAAAGCAGCTGAAGTTGCAGATCTATGTGAACCTGTTGGTGAAGTCATGGCAGAGTATTCAAAGCCACTCCCTGAATAAACAACAGACTTCAATGTTTGCTTAACTAAGCCACCATCAAATCCTAAATCCTGTCATAACACCCATTGGTTTGTGTTTGCCATAACCAGAATACACCTTTACAGTGTTTCATTATTCTCAATTAAACATGTGGGTTTACTCAATGATTATAACTATTGTAATAATGACCAACAAAGTCTTAATGGCACACTCAAATGGTTTGTTAAGTCACAGACGGTGTTGAATTCAGTTATAATGTTGAATGGATCAATTAGAGGTTAGGTAAACAGTATGATGCACTGAAACGCTCTGAAGATTTAAGAGTAATCACTTTTAAACAGTGTTTTCAGTTTGTCTACATCACACTAACTCAATATTGTTTCACACCAGAATTCAACTTGGTAGCAATTTACATTTCCTTCCAGTGTTCATGCTTCAGTATGTTTTGGTTTAAGTTTATTTAGATGTGGTTTCATACTGTTTAATAAAGGCATAAAGGATGGATGCAGCATTGTGTGATGTCTACAGGTTATTGTCCAGAGGAAGCTCTTTTTTTTAGCAGTTAAAGGAGTTAAGAATCATGTGTCTACCATTATCCAAATGAAATTCTATGTGAACCTTTTAATAGACAGCTTTAAAAAAATAAAAAAGTTAAAACAATAATACACAAATGAATAACCGTCTCACAGAGCGTTCATCAAGAATCCAAGGGTGTTATTTCCATTCTGACTTTGCTGTAGTAAGTGCACATCTACATTGTAACATTTGGTTTTAGTTTTGTAATGTCACAATGTTCAGGACTAATTTAACTGTAAGAGACATTAACTGATGTAATGTGTGTGTAAGCGTTACAGCATGGTAGGACTGAGACCTGTGGAGTGTTTCCGTTTTGTTGACAGACTGAGGGGGAATGTATCAACAATGCTTTTCATTTCTAATAAACTACAAACGAAGCATTTTAGTGGAGAATTCCATACGAAGCATAAGACAGTGAACAGGCGGGTTTGAGCATGTGATTTATGCAAATATTGATAAGCAACTGAATTTAAATAAGTGTCACAGTAGCCAGCGCACGCGTGAAAGGCCTCAGACTACCGAAGAGAGAACTTGTACCAGGCAATCATAAAAATATGATTTTATAATGAAATGTCTAAAGTAACTATCCCAGGTATTTAGAAATGTGAGAATTAAGTTTAAATGACAGTCATGTGCTTAAAGGTGGGGGTAGGTAAAAAAGCACGACCAATCATCTGAGCCGGCCCGGCTAAAATAACTGGATGGCCTACCTGCCTGTCAGCCTTCCATCTGTGCACAATGTTACAAAAAGGGTTGATGAAAAAATTAGGAATGAATTAAGATGGCTAGAGTCACACAAAATGTATCCTTAAGTGCTTTTATTAAAACAGCCAAAATGCTGAAAGAACACAAAGTAACAAGGATCTACAGTCCAAAATAGAAAGAAAAACAAACCTCAATATATGTACAGGTCGAAGAAATATGCTCTACAGCCACAGTCAGACTAACTCCAAAACACTTGTGGCCAGAGGTTTATATATGTTAAGCCCCTCCCCATAGGACAAACAACAAATCAAATAGGTCAACATATTCTACATTTCTGACCACAANGGAAATCTCACGATGTTCTTGCTTCACTCATCGGAAGTTCTAACTTCGACCAGTCAATTGCTTGCGTCATCTTACTGTTTGTCTTACTCCCGCTCTTCACCGACAACACAACACACTCTCTAATTTTATCGGGTTAACGACCGCCCTCTCCTCCGCCACTACACAAATTAACTTATCATTTCCCCAAATTGCAAAGCACGTCCAACCACCACACTCTCTCCTTATTCTATTCTGTCGGGTTATAAAATTTTTTTCAAAAATAAGAAAAAGGGGCGGTATAAAGCGTTATGAAAGCGTGTGGAAAGGCGTATAAAGCGTTGAAAAGGGCGTTAGAAGGTGGCGTATTTTAGTGTATTTGGGGCGTCAAATTACGCGTATTAGTTGCCTTAAATGCGGGCGTATTCGTTCCTTAAAACCGGGCGCAAAAAAGACCTCCCCCAGATATTTATATGCATGTAGACCTGTTGTTTTTTTTCTCAATATTCTATTCTGAAATAAGTAGGGCTTCCTTAACGTACACGGTCTTATTGTTTTTAGGTTATTTGGTGTCGTCGTATTATGGCACTTTGACATGTGATTCTCAAATAATATATAACAACTTGTCAATTTCCCCCCCATCCATTAAGTGAACGTCTTTGTGAAGACGTATAAGGTATTGTAGGGCTATCGTTTACTTATGTAATTTACGAAACTGTTATTTTAGCCGGGCCGATTTCCATTGACCTACCGGATGGACGGCGTCGGAAAGGTAGACACGTGTTGAATAGAGCACGGGAGTCACCTCCAGTAACACACGCAAGCTCCTCGCACACAACCTCCTCCCCGAGACATTCCTTCAGACTTCCTTCCCGTCCTAAAAAAAAGCCGACGAATGAAAGTTAAGATCGCGTGCTTCTCGACCAAGAGGTAAGAATGGATTGGATGGAAAATTACGATTTATTCACGACAACTGGCATAATTCATAATAACACAATGGGACAGAGTCCAACATGTTACGTTTACTATTGGGATATCTTGCGACACTCTTATCAATGATCGAACGTCGTTTGTGCGATAACAGATTCAGAAATTTATCGTGCGTGTAGGACTAAGGACAGTGTCCTACTGTATATTGAGTCTCACCCTGTAATCGAAATAGGTATACAGTAACTGAGTTATCCCTGCGCCGACATACGTACCTCAGGATTTTGGACTTTCACTACAGGATCGTTTTACACTACTTGCACCAATACTATTCTTCGGCCTTTATTCCAGATCTTCGTTATATATAAGGAGATGCTGGGTTTTCTATTAGTCATACATGGGGCCGAGCACTTACATGTTTAAGTTTACATCGAAGTTACACAGTATAAATCGCTGCATTTTAGACGGATTTTATTTGATGATTTGTAGTCAGTAGGGTTTGTAATCAACGGAAGTCGATCACGACTCCTAAACATAGGTACACTGGCACTACATCCACTAAATATCGGATTGTTAACGAAAAATGAAGGTTAACGTAATGCGAAACTTTTTAGTGTTTCACAATTGTACACCTCTAATGGTACGTTATGTTGTGGCACAATTCTAGTACGTACACACGACTATGTAAACAAAAGACGGTAATATACTTTAGGGTTACCTTTTAGGAAAAAGGACAGTGTTGTACTTGTATATTGAGTCTCACCCTGTAGATCGAGAATAAGGTATAAAGTACTGGAGTTAGCTCGCCACGTACTTACTCTACGAAACATCCTTTGTTCTACTTACATCAATGTAATGTATATCAATCCACCTCACCTTCTTTAAGTTCACACTCAATAGAATCGTAAATCAATTACCCTATCCACATCCTTTTTCAATATGAAGACAAAGGAGGTAATTTGTTTTACACCAACATCTCTCAGGTAAAATATCACGTCTCCGTCTTGTTTTTCTTTTTGATTCTTTTCTCTCTTTTTAGTGAAAAAGCTGAAATTAAATCCGGGAACATAGACTAAGTGGTCGTGAGCATGATACCATACAAGACGAACTTCACCTTATTAATAACGAAAGGAACAACAAACTTCAACCTAAAAAAGTACCAAAAAGGTAGAATAACATTACAGCGAACCTCTTTTCACAGTCTTCCATTATTGATTCAGGATTTGGGCTTTAATCAATCCGTAAAATGGTAAAGATCAAAGTGAAAGAATTTCAGTTTTTTATACAAACTTGTACATCCAATTATAGTTCCAGACATCAATAGTATTCGACTTTCTCTAAGTTGCAAAACAAAGTGCTGTAATTTTTATGCTTGGACTGAGCACTTAATATGCCGCATACTTACAGTAGTAGTACGGCCTTGTAGTCGCAATTGGCGATTTCCGTGAGCAAGGACGCATGACAGTAAATTCGAAGAATTGTAAGTATACTGTAAATAAAATTTCTACAACCGGTACGTCCACACGTTATCCAGCGGTACGTCATTACACGCAACAAAACAAGTTTGCCAAAATACTCAACTGCTATACACAACTAAATAACAAATAATACGAACCGAATATCATATGTGTTACCTAACGCCTTGACGTCTGTTCTCAGGTCTTTGAATTAAAAGGAATGTCCCCTGTCTCATTTCCTTAGATACATAATCAAGAGAACGGAAAGTCGAACTCACAACTCCGCTACAAGCATCGCAATCAACTCAAGACGACTTGACGTAGTACCTCAACACTTTATAACACCTCCATAGTATTTATGCTTGTCGTTACAATCATTAGTACGTACACTATATGTAAACAAAAGACGATAATGATGATTTAGAGGTTAGCAATTTCAGGAAACAAGGTAAACGACTACTGTTGAAAGTCCTTCGGATGGTTTTTGTTATTACAGTAGTTGACGTGGCGCAGCCGATATAACGTTATTGTCGTCATTGTGAAAGGAAAATTTTATCATGCGGGTATATTCATTCTCTGTATAAAAGACTAGTAGAGAATCTAAAATCTGTAAGGAAAATACATTTACACAACGGTCAACCGACAAAGGCAGCACCTACCGTCCTACTGTACTCCCGACTGAGACGCGGTTTCACGGGTGACTCGCCGTCGAGCTACCGGTTTCGACTTTCGGCTCGCGGCGTGCCAGTTCCATCTAATAACTACGCACTTCGGAAAAAGGCTGAGTAATAAGTGACGCGAAATCCGTTGACACCTTGTTAAAGTCCCGACGTACAGACAGACACGCTCATGATAGAGAAAGATATATATATAAATATAATGACTCACACCTTGGTTTTCAGAAATTTCGGAGTAGGAGTGTCCTCGTTCGCCTCTCTAAGCGTCCTCCTAGTTTGGTCACTATGGGCTTAAAACATCGTTTAAATGTTGGTTTATGGAGTGACATATTTGTAAGACTAATTTTAGGACACATTAAACTAATTGACAAGAAAATAAATGTGAAGTCTGCGAATAAGTTTCAAAAGATTAATCTATTTCTTATTGTCTCTTCTCTTTTTTAGAATTTATATTTATTGACGTCTTAATCCTCTCTCCTGACTCTTCGAAAATAACTAGAAAATGTGTCAAAGTTAATTGATTCCTCAATGAACTAGACGACATCTATTAAGTGTCGTCGAACATGGGTTATATTGCACTGTGGCTCTTCAGGTTAAAATATATTAGTTTTTTTGTTATTTTTCTTCATAATTTAATGACACATGAACTATAGGAGATATACCAAAATAGAGACCGAACCTTCAAAATGAAAATTACTGGTAATACTTGGTGTACAGAAATGATTACAAAGGTTACTTATATTATATTATATTTATCATGGGAAAATTGTTGATCTAAGATTTCACTTTTACATGGGCATAAAAAAATTCATGTTTGTTTTGTATCTTTGATCTGATCTTAATACTTCCAGATTACTGGTCTAAGTGTTTTTCTACATCTCTAGCTTCGCTGAGAACAATATTACACTTATCACTACTCATATCTTAACTTATACACACACTTTTTTTTGACATTATCTTTTATATCTATCTGATCTATCTCTATTACCACACACACACACACACACTATCCAGACACACACGTCACACACAACACACACACCCAACTCCTGGGACACACGACACACACACACAACCAACACACCACTACACACAGCACACAACCAGCACACCAACACACAACTAACACACCCCCCCCCCCCCCACACAACACATCCGCTTTACACAAACCCCTCCCCACACCACAGACACAACACACACCCCACACAGACACACACACAACACACACCCCCCCACCACAAGACACACGCACGACAAACCCAGCCTTGACTCAC